ACACATACAACTTGAACATGATTTATGCATAATACATGTAAAAGAAATTGCACTTAGCAGAAATGCACAGCCTGATGTATTTTTACAAAATTAATCTACCCATATAACTATCTTCCAGATCAATTAACAGAACATTATCAAAATATCAGAAACCACTTTATATTCCTTTCAAATCATTACTCTCTCTCTTCTGTGATTGATTTGTTTCATTGAATTTTCTTGGTAAGAATTATCCGTACAATGTGTGTAGCATTGGTATTCTCTAAATCTTGGTACTGTTTCACTCAGATGATTAACATTTATTTTGTTTTTAGCATTTGTCTGTGACAATTAGTATGGCCACAAACACTTCTTTAGTTTCTCTCTTGATACAAATATGTAACTTGTATTGTCAGCATTACTGGCTTTATATAGTAAGGCTATGTAGTAGATCTGTTACTGCATATTTGTGTTCTACCCTCCAGCAATCTACCAATTTAGCCTTGTACTAGTAGAATAAGAATATAGAGCACATTATAGATGTGTAGAATTATTTTACTTGCTTTATATTCTTGCCAACAGTGGTTTTGACTTCATTCAAAAACTGCAATTTTGGCTGTTCTGGCTGGTAGCTTATATATAAATTGTTTGATTTACCCTTAGTTTACACCTGAAGAGATTTTGATTTTTAAAGTATCTTTACATGTACAAAGGAGTTGCCATCTAACAAAGTAGTTCTCTGAAGAGATTTCTAATTGACAGTATTGGGGTTTGAACTCAGGGATTCATACTTGTGAGGCAGATGCTCTACTCCTTGAGCCACACACTCTACCCCCCCCCCTTTTTGTTTCTTTGTTTGCTATAGTTATCTTTTGAGTGGAGTGTTGAGCTTTTGGTGGTTAATTGGAGATAAGATTCTTTCGAATATGTCTGCCCAGACTGGCTTTGAACCAGGATCCTCAGGACTGCAGGCAGAAGCCACTGGTGCCTGGCTTTGGATTCCTTCTTGTCAGGCCAATACCTGCGACATCTTTGGGATGCCTGGTTGAGTAGTTCATGGAGAGGAATGGTGCTAACTTAATGGTCCCTCTCCACTGAGGAGCATCAATATAAAGATAAGCACAGCAGGCATTGCTCTTGAAATAATTGTCTAAATGACTAATACAAGTTGAGTAGTGCCTATTGTGTATAAATATAGAAGAGTTGATAAAAGGACTTTGGTATTTTTCAAGTGATCTCTTGATTTCTCATAATAGAAAAGATTATGGTTTTCCCTCCTTCTCTGCCACTCCCACTCTCTCCCTGTTCCTTCCCTTTCCCCCTCCCACACCCTCTGGACCTAATTTTTGATCATTTGAAACCTTCAATATATTGGATTGATTGTGTATTGTTACTTCCTCTTTTTGTTTCTTCCCAAATTCTTTATTGGCATCAATTAGTTGTGCAAGGTGTTTTCTTTCAACAAGTTCCTATATGTATCCAATATACCTTGTTCATACTCAGTCTGTCTGTCACACTTTCTCATCTTTCTGCCTCAAGTCCCAAACCAATCTCAACCAAAACATGTGGCCAGTGGGGGTTGGGGAGGGGAGGAACCTTGTCCTGACTGGTATAGGACATTTTGTATACCTCTTTCCCCTCCTGGTTTTAAATGATGTTTTTCTGCCTCGGTGTGTTTGAAAAAATCTGCAACCTAGTAGAACCAATATTTCTTTTTTTAATTATTATCGTGTTTGTCTATGAATTTTGATAAAGATTCAAAATATATATTTTATTCTGTCCCATCTTTAAATGCTCATTTTAGGAAATAGAGGGCATATGCTTAAATTTTTGTTTGTTTGTTCACAAAGCATCAGACCATGTGCAGATCATTTTTACAATGGTTTGTGCAGATAAAGGTTGCCATAGCAGGGGCATAACCTGGGCTGCCTGACCTTGCTGTGATAAGCCACTCTGTTCCTTGCCTGAAGCCTGATGGCAGCAGCTGTTATATTATGTGTTTGGGGATGGGACAGAGGGGTGCATGTCAACATATCTGTGATGGGCAGTCCGAGGGAGGAGTGTGTTGCATGAAGTTCCAGCTGGTCACTTAGTAGAGAGGGATGGACAATTACAGAGTGTTGGCTTCTTGTCTTATTCACACAAGAAATACCTACGAGCCTCCAGATAATGCACATCCATCTTCCACTTTCCATGATCTAGTGTGAGGCTGAGGTCACCTCTCTTACTCTCCTCTGGGCTATATTGTGTGATCTCATGTATGAAAGAGGTCTGCATAATGTAAAGAACTTTTATTAATAACCAAACTAAACAAGCAAGCCAGAAACCCTTTTGGACATTCTAAAAGAGACACTAGGCTTGGAGCATTTGGCTTTGAACAATTAGAAAGACAGGGAAAGAGTATTTATTGCCAGTTTTCATTCATGCCAAATTTGCTTATCCTGTTTATCTAACACAAAAGCCAACAATCTGGAGTAGTTTTGATTGAATCTAAATATTTATCCACATTTGAATGGGCTCCAAAGGCCTGTTCCAGAACCGAGACAGAACATCTGCATGTTCTGGAGGGGAGCAAGCTTGTGTGTGTGCAGTGGCTTGGTTCTGGCTGGACATGGGCCATGGAATCCTTGCACCCTACTGGCTGTTGCTCTCCAACTGTCTCTGTGGCTCTGAGCTGATGGCAGATGTCAAGACCTGCAATTTGCTCATCATGGGAATCCAGTGTCTGCCTTGAGCAATCTGGCCATTCTGTCTGGATATCTTACCTCTGGAAAGCTCACTGTTCATGCTTTGGGAGCAAAGCTTTATCATAGCTAATATTTACTGAGAACTTACTACACACAAACGCGCGTGTGTGCGCACACACACACACACACACACACCAGACATTATTCTAAGCACAGTCTTACATTAACTTCTCATGGGATTTCAGGTAGGTACGTTTACTGTTTTTGTCTCACCGATAAGGAAATACAGCTGTGGAGAAGTGAACAACCTAAGTTTTAGGAGTAAGTGGTGACAGAGGGATATTCAAAAGATTTTACAACTATCACGATCCAGACATTAGCCAAGGAGAAACAAGGCTGTGCCCAGTCAGGACAGATGCTACCTAGAAAGAGTTGGCTAGGCCAGACATGTACTAGTGGCTTTAATGGTCTCCACTCAAGCCCAGGCGGGGTGGCTGTCAGTTCTACTTTTCCACCACTCTGTGTGCCTGGCATAGGTTAGATGCTCAACTAACAGTGCCAAACTGAAGTGCTCTGCTAATTGCTCCCTTGTGAAGCATTACTGTATTTTTCTATCTCCTACTTGCCTGCCCAGAGTAGAGGTGTGCACTTTATTTTATTTTATTTTTACTATCTCACCTATGACACTGCTTTAGACCAATAGCAATTAGAGGACATGACCCCTAGCCATGTTCATTCTGTTTTTTTTTTTTTGTGGTGGGGCTTAAACTCTGGGCCTGGGCACTGTCCATCAGTTCTTCAGCTCAAGGTGAGTGCTCTACCACTTGAGCCACAGCAACACTTTCGGTTTTCTAGTGGTTTATTGGAGATAAGAGGCTCACGGACTTTCCTGCCCGGGCTGGTTATGAACCGTAATCCTCAGGTCTCAGCCTCCTGAGTAGCTAGGATTACAGGTGTGAGCCACTGGTGCTCAGCATCCTGTTCATTCTTATGAATGTGTGAGACATGTGGTAGGTACTCTCTGAATGCTCAATGACTAAAAGCAGCAGCAATGATTAGGAAGGCTGTGTAACATGTATCTATACATGGAGATGCCATAGCCCAGTTGTGGGGTCATCAGATCTGAGTGCAGATTCCAGCTGTGCAATCTGTTAACTGAATAACCTTGTAAGGCATTAACCTAATGCTTTCTCGTTTTCTCACCTGCAAATTGGGGGCAATAATATTATTTTCATAGTATTGCTAATAGGTGGTACTGTTAGTTTCTCATCTAGCTCTGTTCCCTTGATAGGTTCTCTGAGAGTGGATTGGCTGTGCACCTACGTTTTAGTTACTGTGGGCAGAGGTAGGGAAAATCCTATCTCTGCATAACTGTCCTATGGTAATTAATTCTGGGGAAGGTTTTGTTCCAGGAACAGAGGTATAAGACTAAGGCAATCTGGATCCCAAGCCACAATAAGGAGGGATGTTGTCTTGGAGAGGCTGATGCCAGTATCACCCAATGCCTTCAGCACTGAGACGCTGCCAATTGGGTGTTGTACTATAAAATAACTTGTTCATTATAATACACAAACAAGATAACATGCTACAAGTGAGAATGCTAGCCACACTCTTCCTCATCTCCACAGCTCATACATAGCTCTTCACCTGTGCTTTACGTGTAGTGGCCCCCACACTTATAAAGTAGAAATGACAGAAACTAAAGTTCAATATCAAAGGGAAGAGTTCAAAATAACATTGAGATTATTGACATACATAGTCAAGAGTTCTGGGCTAGATGGTCACAATGGGAGAATTAGAACCTGCATGGCTGTCAGAGATGAGGTTTTTTTCATCTTTACCTTTGGTTTTCCGGACAGGTTCTCATTTTTTCAATTAGTAGATGAATGGGAATGACCCTGTTGTTTATTGTTTGTTTCCTTTTTCTTTTCCTTTTTTGAGGACCTGGGGTTTGAAGTCACATCCTTAATTCCATTGTTTCTTTTTATGTACACATGATATGTCAGTTCATGAAAGTGGTAAAAAACAGGCAGAGCAGCAAGCACCTGAAGAAACAACACAAGAGAACTAGGGATGAGATGGTGTGAGCTTTGACTGAGAAACAGAACTAGGTAAGAAGTTCTCTAAAATGACTAAGCTCACATGCAGTTATGTCCTATGAAACTATCTGTCTTATGTATCTTTACCATATCAAAAGGAAAATCCAGGTACATTAAAACAGTTAAGTATATAAACATGTAAGTGACAATTATATACATCAGTTGGAGTCCTGGTAAACTGAAAGCAGCTTAAAAACAAAAAAAATTTTAAAAAAAACCCCAAAAACCTTTTTAATATGACTTACAGGTTACCCCAGAATAGGAAATAATGACATTTAGATGAATTAAGCTATTAAAAGCAAAAATGACCACAACCTTCATTAAAAACCAAGTAAATGTAGCATAGTATGTACAAGTGGCGCATGGTGCCAATTTTATTCGCAGCTATAATTATAGAACTCCATCTCAAATGTACAAGTTACACTTTTGTCACAGCCTTGGCTAAGTCTTGAACTAGTGCAGAATTCAGCTGTGGTAGAATGCTGATGTTTCTTGAGCTATCAACTTTATCTTTTTCTTTACTTTTTCATTTTAAAAATCCAGTTTTCATTTTATGTATTCGTTTTCGTTTATTGGTTAGGAAAATAAAACAAGATGTTCAAAACAAAAAAGTTAATTTGCCCAAGCTTTCTGAACCTCATCTGTTTAAAGGATATTGACAGATTAGATGCATCTAGCTCCCCTACCCTCTCTAAACATCCATATATATGAGTTGCCCTGGAGAGTTTTCAATGGGTCCATTCAGTACACAGCAATATTGCTTCCAATGTGTAGGCCTTTCTGTATTTATACATCATATACTATGGATACACTGTATGTAATGTACGAAACTATTGCCCTGTTGACATTCATTGCCTAAACAATGCTGGTTAAAAATCACTTTATACAATTGTTTTCTTGATGTGATAGATCTCCCAAAGTGTTTATGTTCACTCAGTCACATGACTTTCTCAGTGTTGTCAGCAGTGTACACAAGTGCTTTTCTCTACATCTTTGTTAAATCTAAAAGTAATCTGAATTAAATCTTTGTGAATGTAACTAGCAACAACTACTCTGTCTTGTTTGTTGTTTTAATTTATACGCTCACCTGTACATACTATGTTACCCCAAGTTAAATAAATGGTTGGTCTTATAAAAAAAAGAATAAAACTCATGAAAATAAGTGTACTTGTAAAACTATTAAAATATAATACTTCCACCTTGTGGGAAGATTGCTGCTATCAGCGCTGTGGGCTTTAGATTTGTACCCTTGGATATTTATGGCCACAGAGGACATGAATTTTTATTTTTTGAAATCTAGATCGAAAAAAGTTTTCTTCTTCTTTTTTCTATCTCCCAAAGTTCTGACCTATTTGGAGTGCAAATCTTTTATTTTATATACTTGCCTTCCGGTTTTTCTGGGAATCTTTTATAAAATTATCTTTTAGTATTTTTACAAGGGCGGTATCATTTAACAAAGCAGTGGATGACTGCAATTTATCTGATCTGTGTGACCCCCTTCAACTATCTTGCTCCACTTTAGACCAGCCCATACCTTAATTTTCTCAATTTTGTGGTATGAATTATTGTTCCTGGGGCTTGAACTCTGGGCCTGGGCACTCTCCCTGAGCTTGTCTGTGCTCAAGACTAGTGCTCTACCACTTGAGCCACAACACCACTTCCAGCTTTTTCTGTTTATGTGGTGCTGAGGAATCAAATCTGGGGCCTCATGCATGTGAGGCAAGCACTCTACCACTGAGCCACCTTCCCAGTCCTGATAAATATTTTATATGAGTATGCACATAGTAATTGAGCCATTGTGATACTCTCCTAAGAATATCCTCCTTTGGTTTCACTGTATGTGACTGACTGTTTAGAGTCCTGTTTAACTCATGATGTCTAAGTGTATTTTTTTTTTTTTGGTCTTTTACCATCCATTGACTTGTAGATGTACAGGCACAGTCTAATTAATGAGGGAAGCCATACAGCCTATGTTTCTTTGGGTCTGGCTTAACTTGGCTTAATATAATTTTTCCCCAAGTCTTTACATTTCCTTATGAATGGGGCATAGAATTCTATTGTAAATATATACCACATTTTCTTGATCCATTTGTTCACTTAGAGGCATCTGGGGTGATTCCATATCCTGGTTATGGTAAGCAATGCTGCAATGAATGTGGTTGTGCTGGTAACAAGTTTATATTCCCACCAACAGTGTAGTAGTATTCCCTTTTGGCCACATCCCTGCCAGCGTATGTTTTTGTTAGTGTTCTTGATAATGGTCACTCTAACTAGGGTGAGGTGGAATCTCAGTGTTGTTTTGATTTGTATTTTCTTTATAGCCAGAGATGTTGAACATTTCCTCATGTTTCTATTGGCCATTATTACTTCTTCTGAGAAGTCTCTCTTTAAGTCTTTAGCCCATTAATTAATTGGGTTGTTGTTTCTTTCAGCATTGGTTTTTTGGGGGATTAATTTTTGACCCCTAATTATATTTTAGATATAAGACCCTTGTCTGATACATAGCTGGTAAAGATCTTATCTTATTCAGTGGGATTTCTATTTATCTTGCTAGCTATGTCTGTTGGTAGGCAGAAACTCTTCAGTTTGATGTAATCCTATTTATCCAGTCTTTCTTTGATTTGCTATAATTTGGGATCTTTACTTAAGAAGTTTTTTTTTTTTTTTTGGTCCAGTCATGGGACCTGAACTCTGGGCCTGGGCGCTGTCCCTCAGCTCTTCAGCTCAAGGCTAGCACTCTACCTCTTGAGCCACAGTGCCACTTCTGGCTTTATTCTTTTTGCTTATGTGGTGCTGAGGAATCGAACTCAGGGCCTCAGGCATGCAAGGCAAGCGCTCTACCACTGAACCACCTTCCCAGCCCCTACTTAAGAAGTTTTGACCCATGCCTAGGAGCCCTAGTGTTCCCCCTATCCCTTCCTGTAGTGAATCTGATTTCTACCAAGTCCACGTTGAAGCTTGCCTGTCTGAGAGCCAGATATACTCAGGCGACAGACCCTAATTGAATAGTGTGCAATAGCTGTACTTGGGCTATTCTCTGGCTTCTATAACAGGATTGAGGGTGAATGTGGTCCAAACACCTCTTTCTCTTTAAATCTTTGGTTCAAGTTAAAAAAAAGAGAGAGAGAAAATAGGTGATTGGTGGGGGGGGGGGGATAAAAGGGGGCTATTTCAGATACACATAGAACTAAGATTTTGGTGCTGTGGTTATTGAAGTTATACAAACATGTATTTGTGGGAGCTCCATGAATAAGAATAGCTACCAAACAATGCCTCCATTTGTAGGAGTGTGGGAATCCTGTAAACCTGCAGTACCCAAGGCCAAATCCTCCCCAGGTGCAGTAAGCAGGTAGCAACTTGCCTCTGCCTAATTACTGAATTCTGGATGAGCAAGTTATAATTCATCTTTCTCATGTGCGTCAACTACTGAAGTCTGGGAAGTTACTTGGGAAGGTAATAACACGCAATGGTGGATAGACCTTTTGTTTTTTATCGCTTACAATCCCTTATCCCTTCATTACTCCCTTATGCCTTAGAACATTAGGTAATTAGGGACTGTTACAGAAGAAGCCAGTTGGTATTAAAAGGAAAAATAGTAGCAAATGAGTCAGAACAGAGTTAGGGCATGGTATGGTGATACTCATAGCGTTCTAATATTTAATTTAGTTGCACAAGAAGAAGATGAAGGCTATGAATTTCATGAGTGGGCTCATATTTTTCATGGATTCATCCTAAATTCTGTTCAGACAATTATGAAGATGTATCCCTACTGTCCTAAACCAATTAGATTTAGTTCTCTTTTAGGCCCAGCTGGGGCTTTCTGGGAGGCAGCTCTTCAGAGATGCCCATGGAAGATTAGAATTCACCAGCCACCATACCTCCTCTCTTCTTTATCTCTTAAATGTGAAGCCCTCTAGATGCATCAGAAACATAGCTGTCTGCTGCCTCCATGGGGAATCCCCACTGCAGTACATTTCTGATAGAGAAATTGGCGAGGTCACGCTGATCAGATAGCAGATGTCCTGACTGTTAGGAGTCTGGCTGACTAGCTGTCCAAGGTCTAAGAGGTCAGAGCCAAGGGAAACTCACAAGCACCACTCTGCTCTTGGGGGGAGAGGGGGCGGGGAATTGCTTTCCTTACACTGAGGCTCATCTCCCCACATGGTGCTTAGGAGGTCCCAGACAAGACTAAAAGGCAGCTTAGGTGCCTGGACTTCAAGGAATTTCTGCTTCCCTTTTTTCTCCATCTACCCTTGTGAATCCTGCAAGATTCAGTTTTAGGATGATTTCTCTTCTCTCTGATATTTCCTGCTCTACTGTGAAGTGCTGATAGGGCCCCTCTTTGAGCTTCTAGAAGACAACTTTATCATAATGCTTTTCACTTGGCTTGTATGATCTGATTACATGTCTGGTTTTGCCCTCTTTGTTTCTTTAAAAGCATTTAATAGCCAAAGTGCTGGTGGCTCATGCCTGTAACACTACCTATTCAGGAGGCTGAGATCTGAGGATTGTGGTTCGAAGCCAGCCCAGGCGGGAAAGTCTGTGAGACTCTTATCTCCAGTTAACCACCAGAAAACTGGAAGTAGCTCTGTGGCTCAAGTGGTAGAGCAGAAGCCTTGAGCTGAAGAGCTCAGGGATAGCACCCAGGCCTAGAGTTCAAGCCCCATGACTGACAAAATTTTTAAAAAGCCACTTAATACTCTTCCCCCTTCCAGAAGTTGTTAACAACTAATAACTCTAATCTTTGAAACAATCTGACCAGGCAGGCATTATGATGAAGCCCATTTTGCAGATAAGAAAGCTGAGTCACAAACAGGTTTTAATTTTCCACAGACATATATAAAGAAAAGCTAGCAATCTCATTGCCACATGACTTAACCATGCCATGTGGCTATTCCATAAAGATAGTATTTATGTTTTATTCATTTTTCACTCCTAGTGTAGCACATCAAGCCTGGCACAAGGCAAAATTAACAAGCAGTTTGAAAGAAGGAACAAAAGTCTATTTGTTAGGAAGTATAAGGAATGAATTATTATTTTTGGAGCTAGTACAACCATATTCCATTTAATGAAATCTGTACCATATTAATTTATTATGTTGTCTCTGAACTCATTTTGCTAAGAAAAAGATGTATGTGTGCATGCATGTATGAAAGATACTTTGTAGTTTACTGTCATTTATTTTCCCAGTGTTTGAGAGCCTCTGTATACTTCCACTAAAAAATGTATTAACCTGTCATGCATTCTTAAACAAGTCTTGGCACACCTGCATGTAAGTCCTGTGCCAATGAGACTTGTACACTCAACTCTCTCTAGTGGAATGAATTCTACAAAGAGGTCATTACCTCTGCATCTTTTCTTCCTACCATTTCTTTTATGTTCTAGCAAATCATTTTAACCCACAATGACTGACCAAAATTTTTTTAAAGACCCAATGCATATATTAAGGGCTTACACCTGCCTCAAAGGAGCAGAGGATCAAGCTGAACCCCAAAGGCACAGCCCATTGTTTTCTAGACCTAGAAAATCTAGACCACCAGATCTGAGGCCGTGGGCCCTTCAGTTGGGAGGAATCCAGTGTCTCTTCAATACCTCT